TGTGAGCTGCCTGATGTCAACCTCCAAGGTACCACCTACCTGGTAGAACTGCCTGGAAACCCAAGCTACTTCTCTTTAGAGGTTGCTGCACTTTTTAAATCTCTGCTTGTTCATTTTAATTAATAAGACCGTCTTGTAGAAGCTGTCCCTCACCTTCTTTTGGGAATTAAGGGAAGAATTGGAGTTTTCCAAAGATTTATGATTTGTGGAAGAAAGGCTTACTAAAAGATGGCCTAAATTGAATGTTATCAGAGTTCTAGTGAGGAACTGTAAGATAAGCACTGGGTGGTGAGCTAAAGTCACCAGCCGCTCCTCAGAAACCCTATGCTGGGTCGCTATGGGTCAGAACTGACCTGATGGCACTTAAAGAGAAGAAACTTTAGGGCACACACCTTCTATAATACTTTCTCATTTTCACCAATTAAAGCTTTTCATTTTTCAGGCTGATCCATTACTGTCTCTTCCCACCCAGTCACTGAGTCTATTTCCTGCTCTAGACACCCTTCCATTTACCCCTGCCCTATCTCTGCCCTAGTCTCTGAGCTTCTTGGGAAAATTCTACCTCTGAGGGCACAATCCCTGCCACTGTGAGCAATTCAAAACATTGTTAATGAAATTGAATGATCTCTCAGTGACATGCATCACTGGCTTCACCCCTGCCTCAACCTTTCCTCTAGCATCCTGCCGCAGGAATGGGACCTCAGGCTCATATTTTCCCTACTAGAGCCTTCCTTTTAAAAATGAAGACCACCTATCCCACCTCTCATCCCCCCCGATCATACACAACATAATTCTCAGGGAAAAATAGTTCAGCAGCTGTTTCCTTGTTGCCAAGAAAGAGTCTGGAAACACCAAGAAGCAGGAGAGGAGCTATGATTGATCTTTGGCACTCCCACTGGGCACAATTAATGACTTTGATAACTTGGGGCAACCCAAAGGTTACCTGACATGTGGCTCTGCTGGGGTTGGGACCTGGTTCACATGGTGGACCAGTGTGTGGTGTGAGTCACTTAGTTAGTGAGAAAGCTATTGTGCCACCCAGACTACATCTCAACTGGAATCTGGCATTCCTTAGTGAACCAACAGGTGGGTACATAGAGAAAGGCAACTCCCCAGGGATGGTGATTAACTCCCCTGTGCTGGTGATGAAAGTGATGGTTCTTAGTCAGGAAATGGAGTTATACTTAGTGGCATTTACACATCTAGGGATTTACAAAGGTCTCCTCACATGTTCTTCCCAAATGCCACGGGTCTCACTACTCAAAAGGGCAAGGAAGGCAAGCTTCATTGACTTCTCAGCTTGGGGAAGACATTCACTGCCTGATGGCCAGACTGTGAAGAAATATCATAGATCTGCTGGGTGACCATCAAGAGGTTACATGGAGGAGGCTGCTCCATCTCTGCTGTTTCTGGCTGAGCTCCTTGAGACCTGTCTTCAATCACTTCTAACCCTGCCCTACCCATGTCCCTGTAGGTATGTGAAAGAGATCAGGCATCCTGTCTCAATGGCAGGAAAACAACTGTGGCTGAGGCATGTCTACACAGTCTGGCCTGGATCTGGGAAAAGTTCCCGGGCCCTGTGATGCTGTAGGCTGTCATCTGTTAGGTAAACTGAGACACCAAGCACTTAACAATAACAACCATCTCTAATATTAATCTTTATCAGAAACATGACAATCCGCTTCCTCTACTCTGCAGACAAAGTAGAGGTGCAAAGAGGTCAGTTTGTTCATTAGAGGGACATCAATGTAAAGAGCTATTAAATTGGACATTGTGGCTGAAACTCTAAGAGACAAAATGTACCCAAATCCCAGGAGAACTGAGATACTCATAGTGGAGATACCAAATACCACAGTGCCAACTCATGAACCCCACTCACATACTGAGTGTGTTCAGAGTGTGGAAAAATTTAAAGAAAGGATGTTTTTGTAAAGAGGATTTCTTAGAGCTCAAAGTGTGCCCATCCCACCTTCTCCCCAAAGAGGGAAGGTGGGCATGGGCGTGCCTGCCTTTACCCTGATGCCTAGCTAGAGTGGCTCCAAGGACTCACCCTGCAGAGCTATAAACTAAACACAGATGGATTTTATACCTCAGAATCACTCTTGTGGTTACCACTGAGTCAATCCTGACTCATAGCAACCCATGTGTGCAGAGTAGAACTGTGCTCCGTAGGGTTTGCGTTTGTTCTTTTTTTTTTATTATTATAATTTAGGTGAAAGTTTACAGAGTAGACTGGCTTTCCATTGAACCATTTATATACATTTTATTTTGTGACATTGATTGCAATAATCCCCTCAAGTTACAGCTCTCTTCCCCAGTCCTCCCTGGATTCCCCATTTCCATTGGTACATCTTTCTTGTCCTTTTGGTCTCACATGGTTGATTATACTAAAGAGTACATTCCCTACCATAGGGTTTTCATAACTGTGACCTTTTGAAAGCAGATCACCAGGCTTAGCTTCCAATGTGCCTCTGGATAGGTTCAAACTTCCTGCCATTTGCCTTTAGACTATGGTTTGTAGTGGTGTGCTTAACCACCCAGGGATTCCTAAAGCCACTGTTGTCATAGTTGCATACTATTGAGTTGGTTCTGACTCATTTTGGCCATGTATAGGGTTTTTGAGGAGTGGCCAGCGGGTTTGAATAGCCTACCTTAGCAGTCCAGTGTTTATCCCACAGCACCACACCAGGGTTCAAAGTCACTATGTTGTTATTGTTGTTGTTACGTGGTCCTGTATAGGGTTTCCAAAGTGGCTAGTGGATTTAAACAGTCCACCTTGTGGTTACCAGTCCAGTATTTACCCTAGAGCGCCACACCAGGCTTCAAAATCACCTTATTTCTTAAGCATTCTTGGGAGTCACAAAGCTTCAAAAACACTGATTGTGTTTCAGGAATCAGGCTTGTTCAGCATACTGCTGTCACCCAAAATAACCCTAATTTAATTCTTTCACTTGTTCTAAATGACAATTACATCCAACAACACCCAAAGAATCAAGTGAGCTTGGTGCTATGTGATTGATGAGGAAACAGCATCAAAAAGCCAAAGCCAAATAAATCGATAAAAACCGCTAGTGTCATACAGCAAGTCCTGGGCTGTGCTCCTGGTTATGCTCGTCCCTCTGCTTTAGTTTCCTTATCTGTCTAATATCATTCAGAATTACAATTCTGAGCTATACTCCAAACCATTTGCTCATGTATAGAACCAGAACTTCATTTCTATTGAGTACTACAGTTTGAAAAACATAGGGGCAGCATGGTTGGGGCAGAGTCTGGTTGGAGGATTTTTGCTTCTTCCTTTCCCCCCTGCAAAAATGAGGAGGCTTCAAATAGTTCATGGACAAATGGAATCAAAAGACAATGGAACTTTTCACGCAAGATTTTGGAAGCTTCCTTGTGTTTTGAGTTAACATTCTGAACAAATCCACTGCAAATGAGTCAGTTTGGACTCAAAGCAACTCTAGAAAGGGTTTCTAAGACTGTAAATCTTTACAGAAGTAGGCAGTCTCATGTTTCTCCCATCAAGCAGCTGGTGGGTTTGAAACACTGACCTTGAAGTTAGCAGCCCAACACTTAAACCACAATGCCAAAGAAAGCCATTCTGTATTAGAAACATGTCTAAGCACATAAAGAAGGCTCCAAACTCCATAAATTGTGAAACATGTCAGTAGAAATGTTCTGTATATAGACCACATCAAAATGGCAGTTTTAACATTTTTTTTTTTTTTTTTTTAGTTTTAACATTCTTAAGGGATTCAAATTATGCTCTGTTTAAATGTTCTTTGAGTTTTGAAAACCAAAAGAAGTTTGAAGGGGCAAGGTCAGGGCTGGAGGGTAGATGGGGTAAGGTTTCCCAGTATAGTTCTCATTAAAACAACCTTTGCTACCCTCAAAGAATGAACAGGTGTATTGCCATGATGGAAAAAAATTTCCTCGGCACAACTTTCTTGGTCCTTTTTCTCACCGATGCAGTTTTCAATTTTCTTAAAGCTTCTTCTAATAATAAGCCCCCATGATCATTCTGTGTTCTTTGAGAAAACCTATCAAGATTGCTGCTTTGGGATCCTGAAAGGACTTGGTAAAAATTTTTGGGCTGACCTCTCTGGTTTGAGTTTAAGGGACCCAGGTCAATTTTTTCATTGAACATTTTTTGTAAAGGTACCCCAGCAAGACTAAGACCAGTGCATGACTGAGAGAACGTGTCTGCAGCCATCTACTGATTACAGAGACATGTTTAAATATATTTTGTTTGGAATAAACCAATGCATGCATGAAGTGAAACCCTTGTAGCAGTACTTTTTGACTTATCCTCATACATGGCAAAGCCTCCCCTAGCTTTCAGTGGGCCTTATTTTTTCTAGGCTTGGATTCCTTGGCCACTCCTTTTCTGCTTCCCCACTACAAGGCTGACAAAAGGGTCATTTATGGATAATATCAGGTTTAGTTTCATTGGTTGCCAACGAGATCATGATCACAAGGCAGGAGATCAGCTGCATTATTTTGGTTTTAGTCTGTATGTGTGTATGTGCATGTGTGCGTATATGCGTTCATTTAGTATTTATTTTCTAGATACTATATTTGTTAAATATATTCTGGACGTAATCTAATTTATTGCTATTTCCAATTTACACATGAGAAGCTTGAACTTCAGAGAATTTGTATGAGCGATCTGATATTCCACAGCTAGTAACTGAGAATTAGGATTTGCACATGGTGATGGTAGTGGTAGTGTGCTGTGGAGTCGGCTCCGATTCATAGCAACCCTGCATAGGGTTTCCAAGGCTGTAAATCTTTACAGGAGTGGAAAACCTCATCTTTCTTCTGCAGACTAGCTGGTAGTTTCGAACTGCCAACCTTGAGGTCGGGTCGTAACCACAATGCTACTAGAGCTCATTGAGGATTTGCACTTGAGCCTGATGAAACCCACAGTAGCCCTGTCCAAGGGCTAGATCATGGTCCTACCAACGGATCCCTCCACCTCTCTGTACCCATTTTGACCTTACCCAGAGCCTTCATGTAGCCTTCAAAGTTGTCGTTACTTTCCATCTCCCACGTTCCATTCTGGTCCCTTGTCATGGTGGCGGTCTCTGGTTCAGCCTGGCTTTACGTAAGACGTCAAGGAGCAGGCTGCAGAGAGAATGTGTTGGTGTGAGCTGCTTTTATAGCCCAATGGAACAAGTTTATGATGGAAGATAATAGGCTCAAAGGTCAGAAGTACAACCCAAAGGCACTTTCTTTTCCTATTCACCAGGACAACGAGAAACTTGGGCACAAAGTCCTGAAGTCACTGGCTGAGGTGTCTAGGTGACCTCTACCATGCACAGGGCCCTGGGATGGCTCAGCTGGGGCTAGCTAGGCTCCCACAGAGTCCCTGGCCACACAGAGAATACTCTGTGCAGCCCTTGGGAAAAAATAACAGTCAGAAACCACCCCATAGGGACTAAGGCAAGCTGAATTAGCCACCAGCACACACCTCAAACCTGGGGTCTGCCAGCCATGTAGCCAGCATGTCTGGCCAGGATGGTGAGCTGACGAGATGGGAATGCATACCTGAGAAGTCTGCTCTGCTCTGTGCTGGGCAGTGCACACACTTCATCTTACTTAACCTTACAAAAGCTCTGGGAGCTATGTTGTATCATGTCCATTGTTAACTAGCATGCTCAAAAACAACAAGTTAGGGGCAGAGCTGGAATTTAGACTTAGGTCTGGTGACTCCAAAACCCTTTCCTTAAAAGCTTGCAGAGTCCAGTTGGAGCTGGACCTGGGAGACTTACTCTCCCTTGTTTCCCAGGAAGATTCTCTGAGGAATTCTAGACTGTGAAGTCTGAAAGAAGCTGACCCTGGAGGTAGGCCAAAAGGAGTGGGAATCAGCTTCAAGGCCATGGGAGCAAGCTGAGGATTGCCTGGTCCAAGGTGGGGGGTGTAGCTGGGCATTTGGACAAGAACTCTTGAAATAAGGTTCTTCTCTAAACTGGCTGTTCCAGTGACTCTGAAAATGGATGGGTTTACTGCTCTGAACCCCTATTGTGGGAGATGAAGTCTTACTCGGAAGAACATAAATGTGGACTGCGATGGAGAAACCATGAGTTCTCAAAAGCAAGGCCAGTTTTGATTCTGACACTTTGAGGCTCTTTGTTGTTAAGTGCCACGGAGTCAGTTCTTACTCAGAGAGGGTGCCCTGTATAGGGTTTCCATGGAGCAACTGGTGGATTTGAAACTGCTGACCTTGCAGTTCAATCTGACATTGAAGTTGAGTGTCCTATAGTGCCACACCAGACCTCTAATACATGTCTTCAAACCTTGTGAAATCTCAGTAAATGGCTCTGCCTGTATGTGGCTTGGTAGAAGTAAAACAGCACATTTATTTGTCAGTAAAAATATTGGAGTCAGTAGTGAAAAATAGCCCAGCTGTTGTCAAAAGGCCAATGTGGAAAAAAGGGAAGGGGAGAGTGAGGGATACCTTTACCATAAATGAAAAATGAGCTTAAGATACCAGAGGGGTTGGTCAAGAGCTGAGGTCCAGCCAAAAGCCATATTTCCTTCCAGGCACACAGTACAGACATCCACATCGCTCCTCTTGCTACAAACTGAGTCCTCACTGGCCTTCTTGGGTATTTCAGAATCATCACCAGACATTCATTCATTCTTGGTTAACATGTAAAATATCCAGAGATAAGTGCTATATTTGGGTAGTGATGGGTATATTTGACTTGGTGCTTGTTAGCTGTTTGATTTTCAGTGAACTATTGACTCTCTGGGCAATGAGAGAGAGGGAAAGAAAGGAAAAGATGAGGTGATCCAAAGGAGAGGGTGGAGCACTGATTGCTAAGGAGGGCACAGATAATGATTTTTGATGCACACTGGAGACTAGCTCTACCCTGAAGGAAGATCTCTTGGCACCTCCACTCGCACATGAATGTGCAGTGACCATTCTGTCACCATACTCTGATTCTAGACTGGTCCTCACTCTATATCTCCTATGGTAACCAGGCAGGCCTAACAGACGCTGACTGGGGTGAAGGGGAGAAACAGAAAAACAGAAAATTATGTGACCGGCTGTCTTTGGTAGTTTATATTCGTGCATTCATTTGTATAACATCTACTAGGTACTATAATAGATTCTGATGCTGAATTCGTTTTGTCTTTGAGAGTTAAGTATAACAGTTCAGTTGTGTAAGACCCCAGGAATACAAAGTAATTTATACATTTCCTTGCACTGAAACGGAGTCCTGGTGTGGTGCTGCAGCATAATGCACTGGACCACAAAGTCAGTTTAAGCTACAAGATCAGTGGTTCAAATCCACCAGTCATTCCTTAGAAACCCTATACAGGTTTGCTATGAATTGGAGCCAACTTAACAGCACTTAACGATAACAACAATGCACCAAAACAGAGGCTGGAAAACATTTTCTATAAAGGGCAGAGTCCTGGTGGAGCAGTGTTTAAGTGCTCAATTGTTCACCAAAAAGTGGGTAGTTAGAACCCATCAGGTACTCTACCGTAAAGATTACAGCCACATATATCCTAGTCTGTTCTACTCTGTTTTATAGTATCATAACTGACTTGACAGATGTAAAGTTTTTGTGTTTGGCTTTTTTTTTTTTTTCTTTTTGAGTAAACATTTTAGGCTGTGGGCCATATGCTCTCTATGGCAACAACTCAACTTTGCCATTATAATATGAAAGCAGCTATACACACTGCAGAAATGAAGGGGTATGGCTGAATTTCAGTAAAATCTTTTTCACAAAAACAGATGGAAGCCTTACTAAAATAAACTGTCCTGAACACATGGGACCACCACCAAAGTCAAATGGCCCAAGAGAACAGTTAGAGAGGGGATCAGGGACACCCCTGAGAAAAAAAAGACTTCTTATTGTGTTGTTGTAGATGAGTCAATTTCAACTCATAGCAACCGGATGAATAACAGAACGGAACACTGCCCGGAGCCTTGCCATCCTCATAATTGTTATTATGTTTGAGAGTGTTGTTACTGCCACTAAGTCAATTCATTCAGGGTCTTCCTCTTTTTCGTTGACCCTCCATTTTATCAAGCATGATGTCCTTTGGAAAAATAACAAGTATGCCCTTTTCCAAGATTCTACAGTAATAAATTCCACCCATTCTTCCAGTCCTGACTCTACTATCTTTGCTACAGAAAACAATGACTGCCTGCCCTATTCTCGGCTCTGCTGCCTTCCTGAGTTCCTACCTCTTTAAGTATCTCCTACCTCTTCAACTATCTGTGTCTCTCCACAAGATCCCTGGGAGAGTCTCCTCTTGTCATGCATCATCATCTAATTGTGCCATATATACCAGTCTAGACTCTCCTACTAGATTAAATATTCCTAGAGGGTGAGTGCTGTCCTCCATCTTGGCTGATCACCTGTTAAGAAAATCCCGTACACCCGCACATACCCAAGATATTAAGAGACATAACCCTTGGAATCCATGGGCTGGAAAGAAACATACAATATTCCCATTCAATAAAGGCAGAGTAACACAGGCAATCCTTCTCGGCTGCTAGGCCAAGCCCCTGAAGAATACACTTGTTCTGATATTAGGGCACTAGCTCTGGTAGCGTAGTGGTTACGAATCTGGCTGCGAGCTGCAAGGTCAGCAGTTTGAAACTACCAGCTGTTCTGAGGGAGAAAGATGAGGTTTTCTGCTCGCGTAAAGATTTACAGCCTCGGAAACCCTGTACAGGGTCGCTATGAGTCAAAACCGACTCCAGGGCACACAACAACAACAGCTAATATATTATGGCACTAGCTAATAATAAATTTCTTCCCAGTCTCATAGTAATTCAGATAAGAAATTAGAAGGAGACAGGACCCTAACTGTTGAGAAGGAGTCTGAACCTATAGGAGATCAAGAACAGAAGTCTGGTGATTGATTACTTAGGTCTTCTGGAGTGAGTTAGTAGAGACTGGCCCCAGACTTGCTGTGTGTTTGCCAGCTCTGGCTTAGCAAGAGGGCAGGTGTGGAAGGTCTAGATGAAAAGGTGATTGAGAATATATAACTTCCATTCCTTGATCCAAATCCCTAGATTTGACAGTAAAGATAAAAAAAGAAATCTGCAAGTATTAGAAGAGACACACTCAATGGGTGCTGAACTATGAGGAATTCCAGAATGACAGAAGGCAGAGAGGGTCAAATTAAAGAAAGAAGCCACAGTCCAAAACACATACAGGGCAGATATACAGAAGGATGGGTGTGTTCCAAGCTCTCAGGTGGTACTTAAGATGGGTTTCAAAAAGTTCATGGAAAAATGGAATTAAAAGATAATGAAAAATTTTCACAAACTTCTATGGTAGTGTAGTGGTTGGGAGTTGGGCTGCTCACCTCAAGGTTAGCAATTCGAGACTACCAGCAGTTCTCCGGGAGAAAGATGAGGTTTTCTGTCCCTGTAAAGATTTACAGCCTCGGACATTCTATGCAGGGTTGCTATGAGTTGGAACCAATTCCATGGCACACCACCACCACCATACCGGAGTCTGTAGAGTAGAAAGAGACTCTGAGGCAAAAATACGAAGTTTGACTGAGAGAGTATATCAGAGAAATTTATCATCTCTCTGCTTTTGCCTCCTTGGGTCAAAGCAATAGCCCTGGAGCTAGGAGCAGAAAGTATGGTAGCTGTGAAGATTGGCCACATCAGAGGAAATTATTACTGATAAATATAGTATTTCTAGTCAGTTCTACTCTCTCACATTGGATCGCTGCAAATCAAAACTCAATTTAATGGCATCTAAAAACAACAGTAACAGTGAGGAAACCAGAGAATCTGAAATAAAAATATTTACTAAAAGCAAAACAAAAATCAAACATTTAAAGAAGTCTAACCCTATGAAGCCACCACGTTTCCGTCAGTTTGTCATACTGTGGTGGCTTGTGAGTTGCTGTATGCCATGGGTATTTTAAATAGTAGCAGGGTCACCCACGGTGGACAGGTTTCAGCTGAGCTTCCAAACGAAGACAGGCCAGACTAGAAAGGAGAGACAGACTACTTCCAAATATTTAGTCGCTGAAAACCTTATGAATTTCAGTGGAACGCTGTTATTACAGAATTAGAATATTGAATCTTGAAACATGTTGAAGAATCTAGGATATAGTGCCAGAAGATGAGCCCCTTGGAT